TTTCGGCCATTAATTATCATTTCGCAGCTATGAGATGAACCAGGGTTCATGGCAAGGGCGGCTCCAGAGGGGCCTGAGGCTATGCCTCTTCCGCATTAAAGCTCCATTTCTGAACCACATAACCTCCATTTTCAAGAGAGACCAGTTTCCAGGGACACTACAAATGACCCCAAATCCTCTTTTTTGAGAGGCACCATTTCCAGGAGTACCACAACGTCCGTACCGCGTTTCGCAACGATATCGTAACTCGTACCGCAACGACATCCTGTATCGGTCCATTCGGTGAAGAGGCATCAAAGCTTTCATTTTCAGGCACCACAGCCCTTATTTTCAAGAAGCGCCTTTTTCCAGAGGCACCAAAAAGGGCTCTTAAATGCATTCCTAAAAGGCACCAAATTCTACGGGCACAACAATGCTGCGCTTCTCATCGTGACGAAACTCTAGATCGGGCCCTTGGGTAAGAGGAAAACAAGAATTTTGGGGGCATTATAGCCCCTTTTAGTGGCTCGAGGACGCCAAATCCAACAAACGGTTTTTAGGGGTCTAAAACCTTCATTTTTAAGAAGGAAAAGATCCGGGGCACCACAGTTTACGTGCCTTCCAACCTGACGAATTTTGTAATCAACCCGTTTGGCAAAAGGGCACGAAAAACCTTCATTTCGGTCATCATAACCTTTATGGTATATCATTCCAGAGTCCCAGTAGGACCCTGTCAGTCTCGTCTAGGACCCTGTCGGTCTTCGTCTTAAAGCTGAAAAATGGTCATTAATTGCTGAAGAGCATTAATCCAAAACATGAGACATTCACGCGACACTTTTCACATAGGGCCCCAAAAGCTTTATCCACCAAAAGGCAACAAAGGCTAAGGACATCGTGTTGCCTGTGCATCTCCATTGACAAAGCTATCGACAGGCCCACTGGGTGATGGGGACGCCAAAACCTTTATTCAGGGCCAGTATAATATTTATTCTCCGGATGCCTAGTTTGAAGCAGACCATGCGAGGACCCCGAAACCTTCATTTCAAATCTAGGGACACCACAATTTTTTTGCCTTCCAACCTCACGAAATCTCGTCCGGCTTCTCCGGCGAAATGGGCACCAAGCATCTTCCTTTCGGGCATCACAACATTGATTTCTAAGAGGCACCCAATTTCAGGGTCCCCATGGAGGCCACAAGACTCACTTTCAAGCGACGACAAATTCCAATCTCCCCAATATTGGTGCCAAGTTCCAGACTTCCTACAGCGGTAGGGGATCCCGTAACGTAAGGGAGGGTCCTCTTCGATCCGGTGTTAGATGTCCCGCTTAGAGGACCTACCACATCGGGAAGGTGACCATCGCGGCACCTCATGCATGCCTCTAAGGGCCTCAGAGGACCCCGGTCCCCGTATCGCCAGAGTGACAGCCGCCGGGAGCCCCAGGCTAGGACAGAAAAGTCATTCAGCACTTGCCCAGGAAGTTTCACCAGTGCATTTTCGATGTTGATTCTCTGAATGGAATTAACAATGACAGCGGCACGAGCAACAGGGACTATGCAATTGAGCCATGAGTTGGTGGTGCTGTACGTGGTAACCAGCTCCGAGTATCCATCTGGAAATTGGACAGATGAAACCGTACGCCCTGGGCGCCTTCTACACGTTCACAAATCGATGCACTTCGCGTTCGAAAGTACCATTCTCCGATAATTTTGTTTTCGCCCGTCTATTGACCACCGCATTAACTCAGCCGCCGGGCCACCGGCACCAACTTCCCAAACCAACTCAAGACCAGTCAGTCAACTCGATCGTCGAGCCCGACGTGTTACGCGCTCCAGCCGTCGCCCCCTCCCTCTCCCCCCTCTTTCTCTCTTTCTCTCTTTCTTTTTCTTATCGCCACTCCGCTGGATGATTTCCCTTCCCTCCCAAAACGAATTCCTAGGTGGTAAATTCTTGCTCCAATGGAATACGAGATCACTGGCATCCCATTAGACGGAATGCAAAGAATATATTATCAAAAGCAAATCATTGATAGCCGTCGTTCAAGAGGCCATGTTAACCACGCGGATTATTCAATTCAAATGAAAATACCAACCGTAACTGTCTCTAAAGAAACAACGTAAACGAAATCCACGCAAAGGCGGTTCGTCTTTCGCAAATAGCCTTTTACTTGGGCGATGCAAAGAAAACTTTATTTTGATGCTCATTTCAGTTCAGTTACAATCAAGGCAAAATTAGCACAGTTAGATCCTACTCTTTTTTCTATGTACCCCACTAGTTAGTCAGCCCTACTAGTTAACCCACTGGTTAGTTAGCCCAACAAATGCTGTCTCTTTATATGATCTATTCGCTTTGCTCGCGGAAATTCCCTCGCCCTGTCTCGTACTTGAAAATCTGAGCGCCGATCACCGCGCATGGGGTTGTAACACGACACAAGCAAAGGGGCCGAGTTTAACACACACTCATGGACACTCGTCGCCTCATATGCATCAACGAGCTAACACCTACGCACACATCACCACGGAGGCACAGTGCCATACTCTGTTCTAGATCTGGCCCTGGCAACACCACGCATGGCACCACACTGTACACACAATGTTCAAATGGACTCGCTTCTAGTGACCATTACCCGATCCACGTAAATCTAGAGGTCCCTTCAGAACAAATCGACTTTCATTTTCTTCCCCGATGTCGTGTTGAGGCACATGAGTATGAAAAGACGAGGCACATCCTTGAGGCTCATCTCCCAACCTCCCTACATTTCTCAACAATTTTTTTAGCCTCAGCGCACCAGTTTGTTCCAAACACTCATCGCCAACCAGGGCACAAAAATGCGCCCTGAGGGAACAGTTAGTGTCATCGCGCAGTAGCCATGCGACTCCGGCGTATGCGTGCCTTTCGTAGCTACATTTGCGTAGCCCACGGAAAAAGAGGGATGCGTGGATCTGATGACCTAATGGATACCATTGACACCCCACACAGAGCTCGCTGCACCCGAGGAGCCTAGCGGAAGGGCCGGTAAGGAGGCCCACTCGTTCAAGGGCCGGTAAGGGGGCCCACCCGTTGAAGCATATGGAATGCGTGTCATGTCGTGAAATGAATCTGTTAATGCGATTTCTATACTTGTCATGATCTCTCTTGGACAAAAAAGAGCACGATTAAGGTAAAGCAACTTCAATATGCCCTCTCGCGCGCTTTGCACCGCACAGCAAATGACGGCGTAACGTAATCTCTGCCTTTCCTTCGGCTGAAAGTAATTGTCCTCCTTGGAAGTGACTCTAGGTCCGTCAAGAAAAGAAAAAAGAGGCCATGCACTGACCCACAAAAATGACACATGACTGTGTCACGGTTCGTTTGCACCGCGTTTATTCATCGCTTTCATTCTTCGCTTATTTTCTTGTAATCATGACTTACCCAAGGGCCCAATGCATTAAAATCCTATCCACATTCACAGATCTAAGCGCTCGGCGCTAATTTACATACTCGCAATTCGACTACTCTCCACTACCCTTGTAATGACCTTACCTCACTTATAATGTGACCTGCCCGGAGCTTGACTCCGAGCCGTAGCGCTGTCGCGCGTTGTCATTATCAACCTATCCGTGGAACGGTCATCCTCTCTGGCTAGTCCCGTTTCAACTGGCAATTACACGGCGGAGGTCAAAACCACCTAGGCTGCGTCTGACGAATGTAGTGAGAGGGTAGGTGAAAGGCATGGCCCAGACGGATGGCAACGGAGGGCAGAATGCAGTACCTGAGCTCTTCGTCCCAGTTTCTCCGCTCGCGTGTTGGTAACCGCAGTCGCCGAGTGCAGAGCGCCTCCGTCCACTGAGGCCCCGAGTCTTAGTTCCGCTTGTCGCTGTGTGAGGGCTCTTGAGTCCCTCTCAAGTCCCTTTTGAGTGGGTTTCCTCCCGAATGTGACGCCCCCGCGGGTTTCGCTACACAAGTCCCTTCTCTTAGGTTGCGGTCGTAGCCTTTGTTCGCTCCTATTCGTGTTCACTTTCAGAGTCGTCTTGTTCTTTCTTGGTCCGAAAAAGGCCCAGGGCCTCAGACTACGAGCGTTGGCATGCCCGAGATGATGCCTGACCTTGGATTTTACTTTCCGTCGCGGCGGCTCTCTCCGTGCTGGTTGGCTCGGGTTCGGGCTCGGGCTCGGACTCCGAACCTGCCTGCGAGGCTGATAGTGTTGGCCACCAGACCCGCGAGCAGGCTATCCAAGCTAACACTTGGCACGACTAAGCTAACACTCGCCTTGTTAATACAAGGTCATGTTAGCTTGCTCGGCTCTGGTCTGCTCCCCTGCTCTTCACAGGATCTTCTTGGTTGTCCTCTGGTCATCCGTTGGCCCCAGTGCGTCGCGAACGCGAGCGGATGCCCTGCTCCACGATCTTCTCCCTGATCCGGACGTGTTCTCGGCAGTTGGGCATGAGACGCAGTCTCACCGGAAGACCCCTGCGCTCTGAACACCCGGATGTCTCGCTCCTTAATGATCTTGTTGTTGACAGGGTCGTCAGCCGCTCTTCGGGCGCGGCCTGTGCGCGCAGACGCCTTGCTTGACCGGCTGACCCATCGCTGACTGTGCAGCTTACAGATAGTGTCCCAGTTGCTACGCACAGTAGCAATTGTACCGGGGGAGGGGGGGGGGATGCAATAGGGACGATGCTAGCAAAGAATACATACACACGCGGTATAATTCAAAATGCAAGCTGCGTCTTACACATGCGACGCAAAGGTCTGAGGCCATGGGATCCTCAGTGAGGTCCCAGGCACGCCATGGCACACGCGAGAGCGGACGATGGTTCTAGGTTACTATATCTGAACATTTCGTGGTATTTCCGACAAGGCCAGTCGACTCCGGACCGGTTCCAGTTCGCTCAAAGATGACGTCTGTTAAGATAATTGAGCAGCATTCAACTACGGAACGTTTTCAGTGCGACTCATCGTGCTCACATGGCCTCAAACTGACGAGAGCCCCACACGCTCCGCCTCCGCGCGGTCATCCGGGCCTGACCAAGCTGGGGTGCACGTCACTCTTCCGTAAACGTTGTGTCGTTTTGGGATGGTCCAGGCCTGCAGTCAGCCCTGGTCACCCGACAGACACCCAGTCCTCAACGGACCGGTGCTCCTCCTGCACCCATGATGCGCGTGCTGCTTGTGGTGCTGCTGGTGGCTGCCCTTACGCTCAGCCAGGGCCTCGCGCAAAGTGAGTGGAGTGAAGAGAGTCGAAGCTGCCCCTCCCTCCCGGGCGGCATGAGTGGGATCCGGGCGGTCCGGAGCAGAGCTGACGCAGTGTGCTCGATGGCGCTGTTTATGTTTGACCGCAGGATGGCGTTTCTGTTTACATGCGCGCTGTATACATGCATGCTGACTGTGCTCATGAAAAGTGCACCTATGTTTGCCGCATAAGTTCACAAACTGTGTGTTTCTTGCCGCAAGCAAGCAAAACGTTCACCTCTAAACATAGTTTGCAGCCCGTCAATGTGCTCCCCTCTGTTCAAAAAGGCATGAAAGGAATTGGTCCGTTTCTAAATAATTTCCTTTTTTACATGTAATCGTACATTGGATTATGGCCACTTGCAGACTTTCAGGAGTGCTTATTAATAAGATCCCTGTGATGCGATGTGTGACTAAATCAAGAATGCGACATTCATGTTCTTGACGACTTGTTTCCCTGCCTTAACCGAAGGAAATGGTTTGTCTGCTGCCTCAGGTATTTCCAGCGCCGTCATTTTGCTAGAAATGGCTACTTCGTCATGGGTTTTCCCGCGATCTGTCAGCCAGTCGGGCGGTTGAGGCCTTGAATTACTACCTTGTTCGCAAGTATCGTATAGCTAAAACAAAAGCAAGATCATGTAAACGAGACGAAAGCGACTACTGCCTCTCAGAGGAGGTGTACGTATACATGCAGCATGTACACGTACATCTTCTCTGAAAGGCAATTGTAACAGCAGCTGTTCCCAGCAAAATCGGCAGTCGTGAACTTAAGCCGAACACTTTGGTCCCTGGCATCCCGTGCTGCCTTACGGTTCGTGTCGGCGCCTCGCCATTTAAGCAGGATGCAGAAGGCGGCGATTTTATGGTGACACGGTTATGTCATGGCAATAATGTCGGGGGCGCATATAAATGGCCCTGGAGGTGATGACTCCGTGTGCGCGTGGTGTGGTGACCTGAGCCGTGACAGTGCCGCCGTGCTCGACGCCCGCACTGATTGTGGTGCTCCCGGGGCGGTCGTCACTCTTCGACCCCCACACCGGCGCATCTCAGCGGGACATACGGCTGAGCGATGGCCTGTCTGCTGTCGGGCGTGGATAATACAGTATGATGGATACTACCCCAGCAAGATCAAGTCTTCTTGAAATCAATTACTTTTTGTCTGTTTCAACTGAATGATTAAAATCTCGGAACACGACGTTTCCTCCATCCATATTTGGCCATGCCTCCCTCATATTCCTACATGAAGAATATGCTGTTAGGCACAACCGTGCTAAACGTAATTAAAACTTATCACAAACCTGTACCAGGTGTACAGGCTGGACGCTGAACGGGCGTGAAATATACTCACCAATAGCATCCCTGCGAACACGTCGTTCCACGGATTCAGCCCATGACGATCGTGATACAATGATCTGCACAGCAAACGCTGCCGCTCTCCGTTGATAGTAAAGACAATGATTTGGACCGTGTGGCGCTGCGGCACCGGACGCCGGCTCGCTCACCAAGGCCAGGCGGTGGCTTGCGTTTGAGGACGCGTCACCGGCTCGGACCTGGTTTGTTGCAGGGCGCCGCTCCTGGGTGCCGCGGAGTACGCTGCGACAGCGTTCAGGTACAGGCGCATCGCCGCGAACCCTGTAGCTCGTCTGCATGTGACGGCCGCTTCAGTTTTTACGACAGGGGTGCTCGTGCACATGGCAGCCTGAACCTTGGGGAGCAGCTGGACCAGATACGAGTCGGGCACGACACACCGGGCCGCCGGGAAGCGTCGTGCCTTTACCACGCCCGCAGCAGACAGAACATGCCCAACAATATCCATGTTGCGCAAAACATGCAAAACCGCCGCGTCGGAAGGAAGTCCCCGGACACGAGTGACGATACCCATGGAGTACTGTGAATGGCATGATCGCGTATGAAAACACGCGCTTCCCTCGTATGGTGTTTACCAGAAAACGTTAGTGGAAAATGCAAGGTCATATAAACATTTATATGTGCATGTGTCGACGCACCAATTCGCCGTATTTACAGATCTGCAAGTCTTCTATACAATTCAATCATACAAGTCTTCTATGCAATGTTTGTAAGCGGCCAATCCAGCTAGTAACCAGTTTCAAAAACGTAATGAGTCGTAAGATTTTGGTGCAAGAAGTAGCTTTGAACGTTTTTGTTTCGAATCGAGATGCTTAGAGCCAAAGTAGCTGTTTGTTCCCGGTAACATTTTACTTTCGGTAAAATGAAAATTACCAGAACCCGCTAGTTTCATAAATACAGCTGATTTAGCCGTGGCATGAATTAAGTTTAAAGAGGGCATAACAAAATGCAGGCTCCTTACCGTCGTAACTTCACGGTGTGGATCGTAGACGCGTCGGCACACTATCACAAAAGCCGGCCAGGAACATTTAGCCAGAAAATTGATTTGCAGTGAGAAAGTAGAGATTTTATCCTGTCTGAGCCTATGTAAACCATATTTCTGACGCTGGTAGCAGTTAACCTAACGTGGTCTGCTCGACAAAGTGTGTTTTTAAGCTCGCTTGGCTTTCACTGTCCCTTTCCGCGAGACGAGTAAACGTGACGTGATAGTCGCCGCCATTTGGATTCTACAGGCCAAAATATAATGCTAATTACAGGCCATATCTTTACGCATTGCTTCCAAGGCACAGATTTAGTATGCTTCACTTGGACACGATTGACGCCCGACGTTTGTATGCGTCATTCTACCCATGTGCACATGAAATCAATGCCACCTTTACATTTGACAGCAATTTTGCTTGCGCGGCAGATATTTCAGATACCCATATACTCGACAAATGTGAATGATGCCGTTATGGTCTCGCGGCCTTAAACGTATGTTTTGTGGAAAAGAAAACGCAACGTGAATAAACAGTTGCCTCAAAGCAATACATGACTATTTGCGTATAAACGCTTGTTATGTACGTCTTTGGCATCCCTTCATAACCTTTAATTTGCTCCTGCGTTATCGATACTGTTAATTGCACGACGGATCAGTGTACTCGTTCGGGTTAATTCGTTTTTACACGTGCATTATTTCTTCACGCCCTAGACGAAAGTACTTCTCTAAGATTGGGGTTGGGTTCGGGGATGGGGTATGGTGCAGGGGTCAAATTGGCATTGAACAGATAAAACTGCAATCAGGGGTTTAATCTGGCCCAAAAATGACACTTAAAAAGAGAAAACTTGAAACACCTGCAGTGTATAGGGCACACTGGAGGGAAGGAAATCTTATTTTGTGAACAATGTAGAAATGTGCCTCCCCCGCCCCCACCCCACAGCCCCAATGATACTCATCACTCCACCATCCAATCACTCGAATTAATGGGAATCTCGCTGAATACCGGATAAAATATGGAGTTGCTCCTCGCCTCAACATCACCGCAAAAAGGTATTGTTGGCGTGAGAGTAAATAGTCCTTTCTACTCTATGCTACCTGGTGAGACTTCAGTTCAAAAATACTTCATTTCAAATGAAGTCGTCTGAACTCAAATCGTCTCTTAAATTTGATGACTTTTTACCTCGATGAATCAGGCCAAATGCTAAAATGGCGTGGGGCCAATAAGCAGTCGGCCTATGAGCCTTAAAACGGGGTTTCTTGAATTTAGAAATTAAACAGTCACCCACTTTTCTTCCAGGAGGGACGGGAGACAAGTCCTCTGGTCTTGTGAAGTTTCGTACTCCCGTAGGGTTGCATGGAAAGGCCTAACAGCTTTCGTTTCCCAAAACAGCAGATCACTTGATAGCTAGGACTGATCATAAAACAACAAACGAAGTAGGTAAGTATTTTCCAAGTTTTTTTCGATGACGTTAAGCAAACGTTTTTGTGGGTCATTTGCCGTTGCTCAAACTCGCTAATGGAACATAATATTATATTGCTTGCCGTTTATATGCTTATGTCTTTCGAAAAAGGCGAGATCATTTACCTGAAGTCAGGTCAACGTTGCAAAGTCATAAATCATATGCACAACTCTCATATTACTACAGAGCATACAGCTTTTGCCCAGGTTATGATGCACTTCTACGGATACCTTCTGCAAAACACATGCTGAGCTCAAAACATGCAGTTTTACTTGGTAATTATGAACGTAAAAAGTAGAGTTTTCTCTTGTAAATATGTTGCGATATGCAAGGTCATCTGAGATCACCGAAGGTGAATGATCTACTATTCCAGCAGCGGAGAGGCTAGATAGACAAGTGCAACGCATGTAACCACCTTCTTATCGTGTTTGTGGAGCTGATGACACATAATTGCATGACCACCGTGCCTGTTCCCAGTTTGTTACAAAAAGCATTGCCAAGCGTCGAAGGGACTATGTAAAATGCAAACAGCAGCTATTCCATGTTGAGCACATGTAGACGTACAATACACTACTTATGCCCTCATAAAAACATTGCACTGGTCACATCGACCCGGCTAGCACCCCAAAGTTGTTCATTTGGATAGTTATAAATTTGACCTAAACTGACCTCAGATGACCTATAAGTTAAGATGAAGTGGTATTGTTGTGTCTGGAATGCATTTTCTCCTTGAGCAGCATCTGATTAAACAAATTTAGTCAGAAATACTTATGAAGAAGTATTGCTTACCTTTAGGTTTATGGTAGGCCAATTTTGAACGGTGACCTGATCTGACCTGACCCTTTTGGGAGAACAGAAATGGTCAGAATGGATTTCCAACGGTATTAATGCCGACTTCCGCGCTCTCAATATCCGTCTTGACGTGTTGACTTAGATTTAAATTGTATCTATCGAAACGACCATTTTCCATCTTTCGTGACCTACGGTAACCTCACATCTTACGCAAGGCTAAATAATTTGGCGTGCTTTAGTCATGGTTCGACGAGACCTCCGAAATAATATCTTTGTTTTTCCCATATATGTTTACGGCGCCTGGAAGCTGGAAATTCCAGAGGGATTCCCCACAGTCAATCTATCCCGGCCGGGCATCTGTCTCAGAGCTCTGGCCGGCTTTCACATGAAGCTAGCAAGAAAGGCTGCAAGATCTTCACACTTATCCCCAGGAAACCTTGGAATAAGAGCATCATCAGCCTTACACAAATAGCCTAGGCATGGCAAACTTACAAAAGTAAAATCACTATGATGATGATTGGGGTTTTAGGGCGCGTCGACTTCTAGGGTCATTTTGCACCCACAAGTATAGTCACTATTCCCCAGCGTCTCACTGACTCCCAATTATCTTCTCCCCACAACTCCCTTCCCCATAAGTCATACCAAAATCCAAAGTCTCAACTCTCCTGGTGGGTTGGTGCACCAGCTGTCAAGTAAGGTTTTCTTCAAAACAAACAAAAATGCTTTCTTAACTTTTTGACAATGGCCAAAATGTACGATCCAGTCTGGGATGTCGAAATCTTCCACTACCACACATATTCCACTCACAGCTGGGCCGATTTCGTCCCATATTGCCGTGTCCAAATCCTGACAAATATTAGGAGTTCTATGGAAGTTTCCAACGAGTAATTGCTGCACCTCGGCATTACCAAATCGACCCAGAACGGTTCTACACCATCGCTATTTTTTATGCTGTCTACAATGCCACATTTTATATTCTGCCTGAAATATAATATTTTTTCTCAGCTCCTTTTTTCGCTTTTCTTCGAAGAGCGAAAAAGTATCTAGCTACATATTTCAACCAGATGCCTCAAAAGTCATATAAACTGTCCCCAAAAAAGGTGTCCCTGGTCCAGGAATCAGTTATTTCTGCCACTTGTAATTTTTCTTTAAGCATATGAACGTATACTTCGCCAAACTTGTTTCAACTACTTATCTTACTTGCATAAAAAGGCCTAAAATATCCTATGTTTGTATCTAGATCACTGTTCAGCAGGTCTGATGTTCCACTATCTAGGTGTTCTATGTTCACCTTCCCATCCCCAGAAGCTGGATTTTCTGAAGGACACGCCCATACACTCTACTCGGGACGTGTACACCTTTATCGGAGAAGTGGAACTCACCTCTCTGATACGGGTCCCTGGAACCGAAAAAACTTGTCCCACTCGTCCACAAACGTGAGGCCAAGCTCGCCCAAAAGTTATCCTGCTTTCCTGTGCTGGCCACCAGGGCCTTGGAGCTCCATTGAGGAGGTGCTCCGATCTTAGGCAGCATGCCTATTAGTATCTTCCTACCTTCACTATGCTGCACAGTGACTAAAAAGGTTCTATAAACCTTATCACCTCCTCACTGTTCTCCTGTCCCATATTGCTCACTCCGACTTGCACAATGACTGAACTGGCCTGGCTTTGCTGGTGACCTGCGCTACCGCAGGCACCAGGTCCTTGACCTTGGCTGCAAGCTTAGTAAAACATTTGTTTCCTTCTTTCTTGCCTTCCGGAATACCCTTATACGATGTCTATGACAACCCCTGCTTCGCCACCACTGTTACTCAAGCCTATCTCACCTCTGTGATCATCCGGTAGTGCTTCAAAACTATTCCTAGTAAACATAGCTGTATTTTCTAGATTTACACACGAAAGCCTTGATCCTCTATCACTTACTACCTACCATCCCTCATCCTCGCTAGTGGATAAACTCTCCTTTTTACCATCCTGGCACGCATTTAGCCTTTCCTCCTCAAGCCTGTCCTGGTTAATGTACGCCTGTTCCTGCGTCCCTCGACCTGCATCAGAACTACCACGCTTACCCCGACATTGGCAAGTGCCTATGTCTTACAATAGTACCTGGAGTGGTTAAAGAACGCGGTCAATAACGGCGGTAGTCATCAGGGATCCTTTACTCACATTTACTGAAATGTGTGTTGTTTTTTTCTCTCTTTTTGCTTATCTGACTTCTAAGATGTCCAAAGGGCACCTGATGGGGCATTTGATAAAAAGGTACGTTCCATCTCTCCCCCCATGTAACTTTTCATAAAAAGGCTGCTGACATTGCCTTAAAATAAAGATTCATTCCTCCGTTCCTCGCACACAAAACATTTTGGAATTTACGTTGTGTATTTGGCAGCTTTTTCAATTTTAACATCGGGCCATCGGGCGAACAAAATAGCCAAAATGCGGGATCGCATTAGGTTTGGGGGCAGGCCAGGTCAGCCTTTTCGGCTCTTCTGCCCCCCCCCCCCCCCAACCAATTTTAGAAGTGACACCGCTGGTCTTATCCATTCTCTGCCAGAAAGTTTCCTTGGCTTATGTCTTTGGATATATTCCAGGCGGTGTCGCCAAGTGGATCTACCAAGCACGATGCATGGATGCTTCAGACAGCTCCTTTTTCGCCGCGGTCTCATGACACCTAAATGCATGCGATCGCCCAACTAAACCAACCGGCCAACATTTTGAAACTCCAGAGTACCTTTTAAAATCATGCTAATTCAGAACCATCAAAGTTCCATCAGGCATGGTGTGGAGTTCCATATTCCAAACTATAGTTAACCAGATACCTTTACCATCTCAAAAGTGCAAAATGCAGATATAGTTCTTGCAAACTCTAGGTCTGCCATCATGCACAGCGCCGGCACTCGCTCGGATGATGTGTAGACAGAGCTATTGACGAGGGACTGCTAACAACGCATTATGCACTGCACTTGACGTAAGGGTTGCCACTTACAAAGTGCATCTGAAGTCGCGCAGCGAAGCAAACAACTGGCCTGCTTTGCCACCATGCGCAATGTTAACAACATTTCAGCGAAGGCTAACCGACCTTAACCTGACTGGGCAGCTCTGTGAGCTACGGGCTGTTTCCACACCTCAAGGACAAATGTGAGTTTGTGTGCATGCTGCCGCGCTGTATCGATCTTCAATCGGAACGCGTGACGCCAGCCCAAAATCCAGCGATAGAAAAGTAGGTGAGTGGCTCCCGCAGCGTAACATTGTATTGCAATATTGCTTTAACTATGTTTTTTTCAAAAACGAGTATTTTCTTCACCAAAAAGTGTATGACGAAATGACTAGCAAATGAGAAAACGACTCGGAAAGCGGAGCGATGTTCGCAAATGCGAGACAGCATATCTCAATGACTGAATAGATACGAATCAGGTCCGATTCAACATGAATGCTCTGCGTGCGTGCAGTAAGTGTTATCTATTGGATTTCAGCATTAAGCCTTATAATTTCGCGCTGGTGATTTGACCCAGCATCCTCTCCTCACCGCACATTCCAACTCAGAGAAGCATATCACCCGAGCAGCGCGAGGCACGTTTCGCTGTCTCTCGACCTGTGATAGCTTGGCTTGGTCCCTTTGGCCGGTCGGTTCGGGTTATGTGACCGCTGGTGCCGCGATGCAATCCCGGCAAAAGTCGGCGCTGTTGGCCGCGGCGGCTGGCCGTGAGAGCTGGCTGCGGCGCTGAGCTGACGCACGTCGCTGTGCAGGGGACCTGGAGTCGGAGCCGGCCGCGGAGGAGCGTGGAAGACGGCGAGTGGAGTGCACCACCCTGGATGGCCTGCAGGGTGTGTGCCGTCGGGCCAACCGCTGCCCGGCCGATCGGTTGGCGCTCACCAACACCGAGACGGTCTGCCCCGGCGGCCGGCGGCGCGTCAAGATCTGCTGCCCCCGCCGACGACAGGGTAAGGGAGTTGAAGTCACGCGCTGACACGGAGGCTAGTCTGCTGACCTCACCGACGACAGCTGATACGGAGGCTCGTCTGCTGTCCCCCGCCGACGACAGGGTGAGAGAGCTGATGTCACGTGCTGACAAGGACGCTCGTCTGCTGCCCCCGCCGACGACAGGGTAACAGAGCTGATGTCACGTGCTGACAAGGACGCTCGTCTGCTGCCCCCGCCGACGACAGGGTAAGAGAGCTGATGTCACGTGCTGACAAGGACGCTCGTCTGCTGCCCCCGCCGACGACAGGGTAACAGAGCTGATGTCACGTGCTGACAAGGACGCTCGTCTGCTGCCCCCGCCGACGACAGGGTAAGAGAGCTGATGTCACGTGCTGACAAGGACGCTCGTCTGCTGCCCCCGCCGACGACAGGGTAACAGAGCTGATGTCACGTGCTGACAAGGACGCTCGTCTGCTGCCCCCGCCGACGACAGGGTGAGAGAGCTGATGTCACGTGCTGACAAGGACGCTCGTCTGCTGTCCCCCGCCGACGACAGGGTAAGAGAGCTGATGTCACGTGCTGACAAGGACGCTCGTCTGCTGCCCCCGCCGACGACAGGGTAACAGAGCTGATGTCACGTGCTGACAAGGACGCTCGTCTGCTGCCCCCGCCGACGACAGGGTAACAGAGCTGATGTCACGTGCTGACAAGGACGCTCGTCTGCTGCCCCCGCCGACGACAGGGTAAGAGAGCTGATGTCACGTGCTGACAAGGACGCTCGTCTGCTGGCCCCGCCGACGACAGGGTGAGAGAGCTGATGTCACGTGCTGACAAGGACGCTCGTCTGCTGCCCCCGCCGACGACAGGGTAACAGAGCTGATGTCACGTGCTGACAAGGACGCTCGTCTGCTGGCCCCGCCGACGACAGGGTGAGAGAGCTGATGTCACGTGCTGACAAGGACGCTCGTCTGCTGCCCCCGCCGACGACAGGGTAACAGAGCTGATGTCACGTGCTGACAAGGACGCTCGTCTGCTGCCCCCGCCAACGACAGGGTAAGAGAGCTGATGTCACGTGCTGACAAGGACGCTCGTCTGCTGGCCCCGCCGACGACAGGGTGAGAGAGCTGATGTCACGTGCTGACAAGGACGCTCGTCTGCTGCCCCCGCCGACGACAGGGTAACAGAGCTGATGTCACGTGCTGACAAGGACGCTCGTCTGCTGGCCCCGCCGACGACAGGGTGAGAGAGCTGATGTCACGTGCTGACAAGGACGCTCGTCTGCTGCCCCCGCCGACGACAGGGTAAGGGACTGGAACCACACGCCGACACGGAAGCTCATCTGTGACTCCGCCGACGACAGGAGCCGGGCATGGAGACTCTCCGCTAAAAGATACGTTTCTAATGCGTCTTCAGTCGCGCTTTTCTATGCTTTTATTAGAATGAATAAGATTACTGGTATCTATATTTTTCAAGCTATGTTAATGGGCTGCCAGGAGGCCCTGAAGCTATGACTACATGTCCTGTTTGAGTTTTTTCAATGGGTAGACCTTAAGTCTTGAGGTTATTGCTACATACTACCACAGAAGGATGGGCTTTGTCAACCTAATGGGCTTTGTGTGTGCAACAGCCATGATCAGATCGAGCTGTTCCGGTGATCAAATACAGGCGGACAATCTAGGCATGCATTGATTAGAAAATGTGCAACTTGTGCAAGTACACATGACCAAAAGTGTCAAGAACCCCTAAAATGTGAATATATGTGGATATTGATCACACCTCATATCGTCAAGGGCACATCAGGAATATAGATCGATATTTTTTCGCAAATATTCCTTTACGTTATGATCATCTTAGCGCACAAAGCAGATGGACCGGTTCAGTTGTTTTATTTTTCAATGAGCAAGTTCTTACACACTTGTTTCTCGTTATGCTTAGTCGGTTCCTCTTTCATAAGCTCAGGTTGACAATCTGTGCGTTAGTCAAAAGTCAGCTTTCCATATCGTTCATAACCAACTTAATGGCATTATCTGTGGAGGAATAATCATTGGGTAGAAGTATGGCATGTATCAAGGTAAATTATGGGACATACTTGTCTCAGTTCTCAATTATTGCTTGAGTCGTAATATTTGCTTCATCGGAAATGAACTTTTAAAACCATAACTATTAGAGAAATCCCAAGTGCATAGCTATCGATATTGCGTAGAAGAAGAAGCATGCCTCCAATCATCACATGATCAATGAGGTACATTTTCCAAAATATACAACAAGATGTTATCCTTTGCCGCACAGTGCAGAAAAAAGTCAGGAAGTATGGCAGTAGGCCGAGCACCAGTCGTGATGGCATTCCCGACCCCACTTTTCCGACCACGTACTCAGTGTGCACGCACCGTGCTTATTCTGCTCCTCACGCTGATAGCCATAAATTAAACGCCCTGTAACATTTGCAACAACGCAGCCTTGCTATTATAGGAACAGCAAGGGAAACAGCAGAGTTCTAGCCGCTGCTCTGTCTGCTTGCAAGTCAAAATACCCGCGTTTATGCAGCCCTGTGCGTCCTATGGCTGGCAGAAAATATTTTTCTGGTGATCACAATCAAAAGATGCTTTTTAAATCTTCATAACTACATACAGCTACCCACGCAACTCTCCGCGACTTCATTTGCAGGGTTTGGTATTGGACAAGTTTATTATATATATATATATATATATATAAGAAATATATATAAAAAATATAAGAAATATATATAAGAAATCGCTCGGATAGTTGTCGTCCCTACTTTTCGTCAAGTTGCCGTCTTTGCCGTGTGCATTAAATATGATGGCATACTTGACATTCATTTTTCATTTAGTATGGGACTTGACCGTAAGCACTTGGTTTCGTGGTTCAAGGTATTGTTTTGGTATCTTGCCGAATTTTCCGATTGGTGGTTAAGTGCCATGCCTCCGACAAATACCGTCAGGTACATGAGTATGGTTGCAAATGAATGCACCTATAGCACACAGCTGCACAGTATGAAGCATCGAATACTTTCACAAGCTGCGATCTGATAAGGAGGATACACTATCTGTAACGCAGGCAGACAGTTAGAAGAGGCAAGGAAATAATTTAAGCGCAAGTATTGCGCTCTGCTTACAGTATAGTGTTACGCGGATAATTGCTCAATATGCAATAGAAAACAAAGGCTTCTTGAAAACAATCATGTTCAAAGATATGCAACTTAATTTAATCGGGAGAATGCACCCTGATACCGGGTAAATATATCCTCGGTTATGGGCCATCGGGATATATTTACCTACTTCGAAAAAAATTCACCACGTCTTCCCTGTTTGATCCAGAGTCATGAAAGCTACATATGTTATAGAGAAATGTTGGCCGGTTTTGATGGTGTTTTTGGTTTTGCTCTACCTATCTTGGTTGCGGAGCAATGATCGCCTGAATTCGTCAATCTTGCGATTTTACACTTTTCTAGGTGAGACTAACCTAAACTAGAGCTAGGTCGCTGAGATTTTGTAGATCTTATTTTTGCTCTAGGTGGGACCCTAAGCACATGTCAATTCTAAGTTACACTCAGTATTTTGGGTACTTATTTTTTGGCCCGAAATTTGCAGTCGCATACCGGGGTACATGTTTCTCCCATCGACTTACACGTTAATTTCATTATGACCTTACGGATGCGCTAAGTAGAATCTAACATATTTCTGATTATCCGATTGCCTTCGTTTAAAAAAGAATGAAAGATCTCGGCGAGACGAGTTGAATAAAAATAATTGAAATAAGACAAAATCAAAAAACAATTATTCAATTTGTTCGTTGTTACAGCTCCCCTGACCAGAATTTTTTGAGTAAATTGTTCTAACCTCCAGAAAAAGTTATGCCGTAATACGGAGCATCGATTGGCGGTCAAAAATTGAAAATCGGTTAAAGGGTTAAAAAAATATGAGCAAAAAACCGAATTAAAAAAGACTTTACGCCAAAGCTTAAAATAAGGAATCTATTCAACCGATTTTTGCGCACAAGACGTCATGGGATGCGCAATTACAGGGGGTACAACGAATTCACTTTTATTAAGCGATTGGAAAAAGGACGAAAAGTTAAAGGCAAAAAACTGCTTTTCCAAAAAAAAAACATTTTGAAATGCCTTTTTCTCAAAAACCTGTGCGCGGAAAATTTTCAGTATACTGCATCTTGTGCCTTGAGGAATTCCTCATGTTGTGGTTTTTGAATCAGGGTGATTGGTTTATTAGAAGCCGAGAAAATCGCAAAAGTGCTCAGAAACAAACACTTCCATGGATGGGCTGGAAAGAACACAGCGAAATGTAACTTCGATTCGACGAAGTTGGACAATTAATAGGATTAGCAGCTTATAGTATAAAAATAGGCTTGGGACATTGGATTTCTATTCACTGAAATATCGTAGACTTAGAGGGAATATGATAGAAGTATTCAAGATTAGGAAAGCTATATGTGCTGATATGCGCGATGTTTTACGTAATAAAATTCACCGATGTTACGAAAGTATGCCGCCAATCGGAAACAATCTTGATGCTCAATTAGCTATACCTGAACCAGGAAGTTAGTGCGATAAAAACTCGTGAAAAACGAAAAAATGATGCTATGAACACTGTCTGATTTAATGAAAAGTTTAGGGATGTACTGAAAAGGTTGCCTTTGACACCCATAACTTACGTCTCTCCCCCGCTGTTGCTTTCATATGAGTATATTTAAGTCAATGTGCAATGTTCACGCTTCCAGGGTCCTACCAATGGTCTGGCCATCGTCTGGGGTGAATGCAAGCTGACTCGAGCGACTTTAAATTGCTCCCCTAGTTTTACGAAGAACTTGTTGAGACCACAGCTTCCCGAAGACTCGCATAGTCAAGTCTCTTATAGCAATGTACGCATCATTTGTGTTACAGGAGGGAACCGAGGCGGTGGATTTAACCAAGGAGGTACAACAAGTGAAATAAACCTGGGAGGAAGCATTGGTGGAGCAAGCCAGGGAGGTAGCGCCGGAGGTGGGTTCAGACAAGGCCGTCAGCAAAGAGGAAGACCGCAAGGACCCGGTGGCGGCATTTTCCAAGAAAATCGACCTAACCGTGAACAAGGCTTTGGTGGCGGTAGAGGCTCGTTTGGTGGCTTTCCCAGAGCCAGCTCCTCCAGGCAATCTTTTGGCGGTGGCCCTCCAGGAGCCAACTCTCCTGGTCTGTCCCCTTCTCCACCTGGCACCTTTGGTCTGGGTTCCTCTGGCAACAACCCTACGGTCAGTTCACCAGGAGGAAGCCCCTCTCGGGGTAGTTCCGTGGGACGCGGCACCACCGGAGGTGGCTTCTTTGTAGACGTCCCTTCTATCAACGGCTCCCCAAGTGACGGATCCTTAGGAGGTAGATTTTCTGGAAATGGCCTCCCTGGAAGAGGCTCCTTTGGAGGAGGCTCTTTTGGAAGACCCAGCTCCCCTAGGCCTAGCTCTTCGGCAGGTGACCGCTTAGGAAGCGGTGCTTCCCCTGGAGGTGGTTTCCCGGGACCAAGCCCCACTGAAGGTAGTTCTTCTAGTTTAACCTTTCCTGAAAGGGGATCCTTTGGAGGTGGGTCCTTTGAAGATCGTCCGACTGGAGGACGCCCAGCTGTAGCTGGTTCTTTCGGTGTAAGTCCACCACGAGGTGGTACCTTTGGAGGTACTGTCTCTTCAGTACCTGGCTCTACTGGAAGGGTCCCAACTGGAAGTGGCTCTGATGGAGTCGGCTCCTTTGGACGTGGTCCCCCCGCTCATGGCGCCTCTCGCCCTGACTCTTCAAACTATGACTCTTTTGGAAACAGCTTGTCTGCGAGTAGGCCCCCTGGGGTTGACTCTACTGAAGATGGCTCTTTCGGACCTGACACCCCTGGGCAAGTCATTTTTGGAGCTGGCCGAACTGACAATGAGGGTGGATCGCTTGGTGGAGGCTCTTCTGGCAACAGCTTATCTGGTGGTGGAGAAGTTCATCCCACATCAAAACCCCACGAAGACGTCTCAGAGGATGCAGCTGTACTCACTTCTGACGGCTCTGGAGGTAACCGGTTGCTTTGGCATGCCGCTATCAACTAACAGCCATTACCATGACCGGCGTTTTGAATCACGTTTCCTTCTGGTCTGAGCCTTGCACTGATTTTGGCTTGCGCCAGCTTTACCCTGACGGCGGGGATGGACATATCCATGCGATATTTTCTGACTTGAGGGGCTAGAGAGAAGAGGGAAACGACATTCGGTGGTCCTTTCAAAGTTTAACGTAATTTACTCAGTTGGTTGAGATGTCTGGAGTTAGAGTGAAGGTCATATCAGGATGAATGCTATGTTTGTTGGGGTTTTCTACAAATAATGACTCTTGGCCACATTCTTCTGTGGATTTATTCGTCGCATATGTTATAAGGAGTGCATATACACGGATTGCATCCATCTAATATTTGGGACAGATGTACATGGATTATTGTGGTTATCTATTGTTTCCTTTAAACGGGGAGTGCTTTATCAATCAGCTATGCTCTTTTTGATCTCGAAGCATTAAAAGGGCTGCTCAGGAATAAAGAGTCTGTTATGTCACAGACGAACTTTGGCGCAGGCTTGATTGTTACCTGAAGCCAAATCTTTAATTGCGATGCACCACGCAACCCAATGACTATTGAAGTGTGATGCGTCATAAACATCATGCATATTATATTTCAAAACTTTCATTTGCACTTAGGTATCATTAGCTGGCAATGCCAAAAGTCCTGGTAGTTAGAAGAAAGCCTTAGTGCATGAGTTGCCGTCGCAGCGGGCTTAAAGGTGGAAGGCACGTCGGTTCAGTTCAAACATAAGACATCGCATGTACGTAGGAAGGCGAACAAACGTTTGCTCAGCGACCGTATCACAACCATAAATGGCAAGTAACAAACCCCCAGTTCACGATATAATGAGGCGACACTAGTGTTGAAACAGCTCTTGCAGAGTTTTGTCTATCCATAAAAAATCCCTCCATCGCTTTGCAATGAAATATACATTATTTTTGATACCGCAAACCGCCTTAACTTAAGCTGAGAATTAATGTGGTTTCTCATATTTCAGCTATAGCCTATGTCTATAACCGCGGTGCCTGAGATGAAATTGCATAGTTCTTCATCATGCTCAAAATTCAGACTTCTAAAATTTACAATCCGCGCCTCGGAAATTCGTACTCCATAATCCATAACTACCAGCCAGGAATCCAACACCGGGCAACCTATTTCATGATCTAGATGGTGGACCAATGACCGCGTAATGAGCTATGGTTAGAGGGATCGGTTGTTTATTTGGGGTTGCGGACGCTGCCATTAGTCTGTTATACGACAGCCCTAACAAGTGTTTTGCAATAATATGATGTGAGTACCCCTCATGGGCCAAAATCGCTACTTGCTATGGCATCATTTGGATGGTATGCATATCATAAACGCCCATAGCACCTGTTAACCTGCTATGGACATATTCACATGCAACCCATCCTATGTTGCAGCTGTGGACCTAGGTTGTGGCTATAGATCTAGGCCAATGACCACATATCGCGAGCTCGTAAGAAATAGAGTCGGACATGAAACACATTAGCCCACACTTGGCCACTGGAGCTGCCACGCGTCCAGCTTCCGAGCTATTCCTTCCTGGTACTTCTTAACCATCAAGAAACTCGAGGGCTCTTTGTTAGGAATAAAAGTCGCTTAGAGCTACAGGAGCTATGCTATTAGCTCAAAGTTAATGAGTTCTAGTCGAGCCATGGGGATATCCACTAGAACATAGGCCAAACAGTTATATCATGAAGCTTGGGCATGCTTTCCTGGGGCTACCAATAGTGTAGTGGCTACGCCAAGCGTCTGAGAATCTAGAGACGTGGGTCGGATTCCCCACGGCACCAGCCCTTCCTCTCAGGGCGAGAGGCAGGCGACGCCATGCCGCTTCAGCAGCTGCGTGTGGGTCGTAATGGGTCGGGTCGGATTCCCCACGGCACCAGCCCTTCCTCTCAGGGCGAGAGGCAGGCGACGCCATGCCGCTTCAGCAGCTGCGTGTGTGTCGTAAAGCCACGACGACAACAGTGTTCTGTCCTCGCCTGCTGTTTGACCATGGATATTACAGTGGAAGTGACAAACGATTTTAAGAAAACTTCCCTCACCTTGGATTTTTCACGGGATCTTTTCCCACTGGTTTCATCTGCTTGCACATAACGATTGCACGTTTTGACGTTTTCCATCACTTGACCCTGAGCTTGAGTTTTGACTTTGAATACCAACGTTTTTCAAAACAGAGATATTCCTCACCTTAAAATTTGATACGGTATTTCTTCTGAGATTGGGTTTGTTCTTTTTATGGTATTTTTTAGGCAATGAAGCCTTTCCAGTTATTAGTTGAATCTGGCACCAAAGGGTAACCGCTGTCGCAAAACGGACACCGAATTCGCGGTTAATGTGGCGAGGACTGTCCCTGTGAAAAACTTCGGGGAAAATCCGAGAATACTTCAATCCGAATACGGATGAGTCACTGATCATACGTACATTAATAAGAGTTGTAGGGGGCGAAATACAGTGCTATTTTTTTTTATAAAAGTCACGATAAATCAAAATTTGCGTCATCTACATCTGTTAAGTTCTTATTCTTCCAAGCCCTCTGCGGTCGAATCTGCTGCATAACGATGGTGGTCACTGAGCAATCAAGGCGAGGAAGGCATTCTCACTGGCGATCAGGATGTAGTGACGTCGCACACTTTGGTCTGACGCCAAACTTCGGCTTCGCTTGCGATGGTCAACGCTGCGGAATCCCTTGAAGAAAACAGGGCACATCGTAAGTTAACGGGGTGCACTACCATTTGTTGGTCGCGTGCAGCGGTAATTAATTACTACTTATATTGAAATGATGTATTCTCCCATACCCAGTGCCTTCTTGCCCCATCCCAAACAGACAGACTGAGTCGAAGAGTACCCACTTTCCCGGAGACCGCCTCCGTGTGCCCCTTCCCTCGGTACCGGACGGTGTGTGGCGTGCCGCTGCATCGTGCGCAGCTGTCCACTGGTGGGCCGTTCGTTCACCTGGCTCGGTTCTCAGAATGCGGTCGCTCCACGCCGCTGACGATCTGGAGCAGGCGGAGAAGGGCGGCCCAGGACGGCCCCAGCCAGCCTGACAAGCCCACGACTCCGTCACTTTTCGAGATTCGCATCGTGGGCGGCAAGAACGCGGAAATCGGCAAATGGCCCTGGATTGTGAGTACACATAATGCAAATGTAGTGGTCATGTGACGTTTCTCCAATTCTTACGAGAGCCGGTGATACGTGAGCCAAACGATCCGCTAACCTACCCACTGGTTGAGGCAGATGTGGAAAACAGACATATGTATGCTAATACCATTGTCGCCGATGCAGACGTGATGCATGCACGCATACGTATGTGTGTTATTTCAGAAAAGGTGGCGCCATAAACTTAAGTGTTAGAAAATGTGGCGGTCATAATAAGATGTTCTGACCCGATCATCAATCTTTACTTTCGTTCGGGCACAAAAAAAACAATGCGTAGAAGCCCATTCATAGCGTCACAAAGAACATCATAGTCACTTGTACGTTGTTCGAGGGAGGCATGAACATTTCCCAGGACTTTGTCATGCTGTTGACATCTTGCTTGATAAAAACCACTTCAAAATTATTGGCACAGTTTGCTAGTTTCAACAATTGCATGTGTGCGACGACATATATACATATATATATATATATATATATATATATATATATATATATATATATGTATATATCTACACGTCATATATAGGGATGCAGTTACTCTGTCAACATTGCAGTCACGTCAAATCAAGTTGCATCACATCCATAGGGAGCAGGAATGCGGCCTGTATGTGCTGTATCTGCACTTTCCCCGAATGCCAAACATTAACCCCATGGCGACTGCGACTCCTGGAGGGAATCGACCTCAGCAATGGTTTGTCAAGCCCACTTCTTGAGACGCCACGTCGGCTATGTTGCGTTAATCAGAACACGGCTGCGAAGTGTGGGCGCAGCTTTGTAAGGATCTTCGCCCACCCCCTCCAAAGAATTATTATGAGACTCTTCCCACATTGCAACATGCCGCTAGACGTATTGTATGTTGCGCTTAAGCCGTGCCATCAGCAGCAGTGACGCGTCGTTTCTCTCGTGCACACCTGACAGGCTCTCATCGGAAGCAAGCAGGGTTCCAGGCCGCCGTTCTGGTTCTGCGGTGGTACTCTGATCGCTAGTCAGTACGTGTTGACGGCGGCCCACTGCCTCAAGCCACGCGCCGTCAACGTGTGAGTAGTGGCTGACGCATTGTCAGCGGGTTCCACTCATACTGAGCCAACCGCTCACCCGAGCCGCGTTCCCCCCATTGCCAAACGCCATCCGCAAGGTAAACCTATGACGTTTTAGTCAAGTGCGTCACAACAGTTCTTACGACATGAAGTATAGTCGCCAGTGCATGACGTAGGCACTTGTCATAGGTAGCAACTCAGATAGGCATTTTCCAATGAAGAACGCTGCTTAAAGGCTGTTGCCATGATTTCACAGGTACATTCGTCACACAAGCGACTGTACTCCAAGCCGTAGAGACCGTTGTGACACATTTGCCGACACAGGCTGACCTTCTTCGACCAAATCAGATGGTTTCCCCGAGCAAATGATCGCTGGGCCACGGTGAAAGGCAGGCTCTGGACGGGATGACTGGACTTGACAATGACATTTTCATTGTGGAAACTTGGAATCATGCATTTTTTGGACATGATCTGGGGAAAATGCTACTTTGTTAAACAAACCGGTGCATCCCCCCCCCCCCCCACTGGAGTTCCCTGACTCCACTCTGCAGCTGACCCGTTCGATGACCCCGCTCTGGAGCTGACCTCTTCGATGACCCCGCCCTGGAGCTGACCCGCAGACCCGATGCCCTGTTTCAGGGCCCATCTTGTGATCCGGCTGGGAGAGCATGACACTTCACGTACCGATGAGGGAACCATCCTACAGGATCTGGGCGTGCTGTCCTTCGCAAACCACGAAAACTTCCAAGTACGACCACGCAACATTGTCTCGAGGGAGTATAACGAGAGCTGGCACAACCGCAGGATCACGTCCACGCATCCCACATTCATCACACTATCGCGATGAAACGGTGTGGTCGTGGCACTTCAGTCTTCGGAAGAGCACATGTCATCTAATGTGAGGTTGAATAATAATCGTCGGACATGGCGCGTTGTCTACGTCCGTGCTTGCGGGCTGGTGCTACCCAGCCCCATCGAAGCACGTTGGTAGCAAAACCGTCCCACGGCGTACTTTTCCTTCTAGCCCATAATGGTCATGCATTAAAGGCCTGCTTTTCACAGAGCTGTGAATCGAATTCCGCGAGGACAAGTTCGATGAACCTGGCACCAAACGAAAGATTGTTTAATTGCCTTGAGCCGATTCATGCCCATGTTTTTCCTATAAATGCCAAGGTCCTGATGCGTAGCGCGTCAAAATTTCGTCTGCGGTGCACCGTGAATTTTCGGATTTTTGCGGTAAACATAGCGGTTTCAGAAGCTCAATCGGTGACGTGCTGGATTCAAATAGGCAAGGTTGCGGGTTTGAAGCTGGGGCGTTGCAGGTTTTTCCATATGTTCTCTATAAAATATGCCTAATTGCTTGCTTTCAGCCGACACATGCCGTCAATATTGTATACTGTACACCTTGATTTCTTCTCAAATGGTCTAGGAACGACATTGCTTTAAATTGTAAATACCTTCACTAGCGTGACACCTGCACCACGGCATCTTGGGCCACTGGCTGCCAAATATTTAGGATGAATTATAAATCTGGCCCACATGGCAAATCTAGTGTATTTCTAATTCCATAATGCTGTTGTTTTATACTTTGTTCTACTCGATGTCTTTTACCCTAGCTGTTACTCCCACCACTCCATCACACACGTCAGCTGATGAGATCACGGGTGCTTTTTGCTCTGTTACCAGTTCCCGGTGCTCCATGACGACATATCGCTCATCAAGCTGGAGCGGCCGGTCGTCTACACCGACTTCATCAAGCCAGTCTGCCTGCCGCCCGCGCCCGAAGGCGACTACGCTGGCACTGTGATCGATGTGGCCGGCTGGGGATACACAGAATTCAGTGAGTGGTGTTGGACTGGAAGCGCGGCTCAGCCGTAATTGGTCCTTTTGGGCCGAGCTCAGTGCATGACCGGCTGGGGTTACACTGAGTACATGATTCGCTGGGAGCGGAGCGCAATTTAGGATTGGCTCATTTCTGCCAAGCTCAGTGCGTGACTGGGTGAGGTTACGCTGAGTTTAGTACGTGATTTACCGGAGATCAAAGCCCAAAGTTTGATTGGTCCTGGCGTGTCAGCCTGAGTAGAACGTAACGCTTAGCTGGCCAGTGAACCTCAATATGTGATTGGTTCGGCTACACTGAGTTTATCGCATGATTGGCTGCGAAAATATGACGTGCGCCTTGTTTAACCCCATCAAGCTCAGCACCTAGTTGGCAGGACAGCACAGGTCAATGTCTGATTGGCTCGGCCACATGCATCACAACTGGTGTTACTGGCCGGAACCTCGCTTCATTATGCGACTGGTTCGGTTGTGCCGACGTCAGCGTTTGACCGACGAAAGGCATCGATATCAGAACGGCACTGGTTAGATCGACGTGGCCCATGCATGGCTCCGGCAGCTGGAGTGCCGCCCCACTTAGAACCGACCGGGTGCAGTTCGACGCGTTTGGCTTATCAATGTGTTGGGTCGAATAACAGATAATGACTCCATATTAGGTGACCCTACAGTCGTTATGGAACCCATACTGCCTACACCATGTTGATATATAGTGCTTATAGGCATCGTTATATTGTTGCCATCTAGCTGGACATAAACTGACATAAATCAGAGTTATTTACAAACAATAAATTCGTTACAAGGATATCTACCGTTAACACGCGCTCGGGTGGGGGTTCAAATTGACCCCCCGAAGCTTTTTCCGGAATGGTTTCCAAATGGCGAGGCATAGCCGCGCCAAATTACTCATAGCTGTAGACAAGTGAATAGTGGATTGTCTGGTGCCAACAAGTTAGATGTACCTTGTAAGGTCGTTGACCTATGGCAGGTCGAAGTCAGGCCACGGTTTCAGCGAAGACAATTTCTCGGGAATCATTCAATCTGATCCAACAATGAAGTGCTAGAAGAAGCCAAACATTTCTGAGATACTTTCTTAGACAACACAACAATTGAATGAGCAAATTACATTGACTTAGGGTCAGGTATGAAGGTAAGACCAAAATCGAAACCAACATTGCTGTATGAAACATTTTCTGGTGCTCATTTCCAATCTATTGATGACATGAACCACATTTTACACCTTCCATAAGCTTCTCAAAGTTCAGAATATGTCACTGACCTAAAATGACCCGGGTCAACATCTTGATTTTAGGAGCATACTCCCTAGCGTAATCTTTGTCGCTTGTTCAAGTGCAAAACTCAAAACAGTCTTGCATGATTTTGATCACCATGACATCCCAACGGCCAAATAAGGTCAGTGACCTTAGATGATCGTGTAACCTTTTGCTGAGAATGGTTATCTAAGTTCCAGGGGCCCTTTGAAGACGAGCCTGAAATTTGACATTCCTTGACCTTATTTGACCCGAAGATCATAATCCAAGGATCTCAAACTTGGACCTAAGGGAGTTCATGTGTAGATTAGCACACCCTGTAAATTTAGTGTTCTTAGCTCTCTTAGTTCCTGAAATATCAGGGGGGTCGAATTGACCTCCCTCAACCGAGCGAACGGTATCCAACCGGCCATCCGGGCGCGTGTTAAAACTCGCGAAGCTACAGCGCTATTCACTGCGTCGACACAAAGTGTTATCGCATCCCGCTACTACCCTGTGACGATGTGTGCCGCTTGCAGTACCAGAGGGTAGGACAGGACTACACTGTTCCAACAGTGTGGGGCTCATGGAATGTGGGTACGGTCCATAAACGAAGACACAAATATTGATATTCTTAAGTCGGGTGGAGAATGTGAGTGACCGCAATGTCGTTCGTATTGAACTATGCATTCGCCTTGTTAGCAATGAATTATCAGAATGCATATCATAGCAGCCGGCCAGGGGCCGGATCACACCTACAGAGCATGTTGAATCTAAAATACTTCTGACCGAAAGAGGCACATCAAATAATTTGCACCTTCTGAAAAAGATGCGCTGCATTTCCTCTCAGCTGACCCCGAAAACAAATGTATTTTCATGCCTGGCATTTTCATGGATCCTTGAAATCAGGCTAGGAATAATTGCTCGAATAGCCGTCTTCGTCTGGTATGTTAACGTGTGCATACTAACACACCAGACGAGGCGACAACTCGAACAGTTAGCTCCAGTGAACAGCCACCGTGTTTTAAACAATCGTCTCAATGCCTCCGCAAATTCATGACCGTCCAATCCTCTGGCCCCAGATAAGCCTCACATGTGATATTGGCTGCCGCACTGCGCGTCCCGCCAGTCTGCCACTCAATGTTCATGGTGTCGCATATAGGATCATTGTAGAATGATCGTAGAATCATCCATTGCCCCCCCCCCCCCCCCCCTCCCCTGGTTTGTGCAGAACGAGGGCGTCAGCGGCACTGACATCTGTCGTTTCCTGGCAGAGGGCGAGTCCAGTGAGATACTGCAGGAGGTGAGCCTGCCGGTGGTCGGCATCCAGGAGTGCCAGTCCAAGTACGAGTCGTCGTCCAGCTTCCAGGTCCAGTTTCCGGGCGGCTTCGGCGAGACGAAGCTGTGCGCCGCCGAGAAGGGCGGCGGCAAGGACGCGTGTCAGGTCAGCACCCCGTCGCCGACGCGCCAGACTGACTCACAGGTGTGGGAAGGGTTACCCGTAGTCAAGCGCGGTGATGCGCGAACCGTCGCGCTTCGGGGGCCAGACTCGCAATATATCTAGTAAGGAGGCATGTAATGTGTTTGAACCCCCACCTCCCACATGCTGAGCATAAATATGGCCCCTATGCACTACGCAAAGTACCCATCTATTTATCTATCTACATATCTACATATATATATATATATATATATATATATATATATATATATATATATATATATATATATATATATGGATATAAGGGCTTTAACACCACCGATATATGTGTACCTATGCATTTGCATATGTGTATATGCATATATATATATATATATATATATATATATATATATATATATATATATAGATAGATAGATAGATAGATCAGTGTTGTTAAAGACCTTGGGGTACTAATGCATCAAGTGGGCTTATTCTGCTCGTCTTCTAGCCTTCTCATTGCGGTTGTCTGTCCATCATTCAGACTAAAAAATAACTCGCCAATGTTTTGCATATATTGGTTAGCCTGAGGCTTCGGAATGGTATATTCCATTTTCAGAGGTACACACATGCAACATACGAGCGGCTAATATATGGTTGCCTGCTACAGTTAGGTATAACCAGTTAGGTATAACAATTAAGCATAACCAAGTCAAGTTCGATCACCAAATTGTACAGAGTCTATATCAGGTGGTTGGCATTTCTGAATGCATAAGATTTCAAGCGGCAAAACGCATGCTGAACAGTAAAATATGTCATGTATACTGATGATAACGATCATCTCCAAATGATGTGACAGATGACTAAGGGGCTGGTTTGTTTGTTTGTTCAGTTCCGGTGACAATGTTTTGATCGTGGCAGCCTCCGGAACATAAAGATGACTAAGGGGCCGGTTTGTTTGTTTGTTCAGTTCCGGTGACGCTATTTTAATCGTGGCAGCCTCCGGAACATAAAGATGACTGAGGGGCCGGTTTGTTTGTTTGTTCAGTTCCGGTGACGCTGTTTTAATCGTGGCAGCCTCCGGAACATAAGGATGACTGAGGGGCCGGTTTGTTTGTTTGTTCAGTTCCGGTCACGATGTTTTAAGCGTGGCAGCCTCCGGAACATAAAGTTCCCTCCTGTTTGATGACGATGTTATGATCAGGTGTCTCTGGTGAGGTCGTCTTGGGTGATGTGGCGGCCGTGTTCCTTTATCATGTGCCCTTTTGGAGCACCGTCAGCCAAGCGCATTGCCAACCGCTTTGAAAGCGTGGTGGAAGTGACACCAATGCAGTTGGATTGCTCTAGGAGTCTGAAATCTCTCATGTCACAAAAAAGGTGAACTACGTCGGTTCGTTTCAAGGGCTCAGATTTGGAGGTGAGCTTATTTCTATGATGGGTTGGGTCAGCTTTTTGTTTTGTAGTAGATGATGAGCGTCACCTTGCCGTTCTGGCTGACCGGCTTGACGTCATCAGATATCTTTTTGTTCAGGATACACTCCTCTGTCTTACAACTCTCAGGCATTTGATTCTGATAGCGCAGTTTCATTCGATTCGTTTGATGTTTGGTGGCGTCAGTTTTCGTCTGATATCGTGACGTAAAGTTACGGATGTCATAGTCGATGACACTGATGGAGTAGCCCCCATTTACAAGGTTTGTTTGAATAACACTGTCTGCAAATAGTGTTTCGAGCGTTTCACCCGTGCCCTTCAATTTAAAGCAAAACAGCCCGTTTTGGTTTTAACTGAAGTAACAAGCATAAGTAACAAAATAAACATAAGCAATGTTTGTCCGAAGCGCTTTGGTTGTAGCATGTGTGGGTTACGCTGAAGACCGATTGCTGTGTCTGTATAACAAGGCTCGTGTGCCCTTCCCCCCCCCCACCCCCACATAAATATCCATTCACATCCCCCTTTCATCTGACAGCAAAAACTTTTCCCGCTCCGGTGGTTAATGTCCCGTGTACCGTGTGGCCGACCGCCGTCTGTCGGCAGCTGTGTGAAGCTGTATTTGGCGGTCCGTCGGCAGGGCGACTCTGGAGGGCCGATGGTGCGTCAGCTGGCCGACGGCCGGTACGAGCTGGTAGGCGTGGTGTCGGCCGGCGTCGGCTGCGGCACGCCCGGGTTCCCGGGCCTGTACACTCGCGTCAGTGCCTACCTCGACTGGATTCGACAGAAAATGGTGTAACTGCTGGTGGCAGTGCGCCATCCGGATCGATTCAGGCCGAGTAGTGTCGCGGTGGCCGGCTGTCGGCCACGACCGAGCAGGGGTGGGAGGCCTACCACGTGCAGATCCGACCGCTGAAGCAGGGGGGCAGGCGAGTCCCGCACAGACAATCTGGTGGTATGTCACATCGGTGGCCTATGTGGTGGCTCGTTGTGGTGTGCTCGTTTTCCGCAAACTCGCCTTTATGCATTCCTACACTCGAGTCTGCCATTGCATTTCACAGCTTCTCCCCTTTACTTGCATTCATGGCTCGATTATTGCGTGACCTGCATCATTTGCACTGGTCCCTTTCGGAACCATAAATCGCCAGGGATGTTTTTCATCTGGAACGTGTTGTCGTTGTCTGTCAAGACTCAGCGGACCTTTATTAAACTTTGATGCATGTTCGGCAATGCTATGCCAGGCCGCGCCGATGTTCTTGTGTGCGATGGCGTGTGTCGGACGACCGCATGTCTTAAAAAATTACGAATAAAGTGGGTCGAGTTTTAAGAAGTTATTGTTAGCGCAAAGTGCGCACTGAAGACACGCGTTAAAAGGCATGTTCCGCATTTGAAGATAACGAAGCAAGCCTCAGATATGATGAAATAAGCACACTTATAACTATTGGCATACTTTTTAATAAAAAATACTTCTCCCGTAACACATTTCCTCTGTTAAGTAACTATGCTTATCAGTGCGTCATTGTTTGATTACGTTATCGTACCTTGAAGCTCTGGAAATCGTGCTTTCGAATGCCAGATGTGAACGAATCGATAATTTAATTCTTATTCGCCTTCATCACCACATGGCCAGTGGAATGACATGATCTAAATGGCATGCTCATGGCGTCATGGATGTCTGGGTGAGCTTCAAGAGTCTCCTGGAAATAGGCTGCACATTAACGCGGGCGTGTAGCTCAGAATCTGGGAGGGTTCAGGTCTTATGCAAGGCAGGGCTGTGAGCTGCACTGAAGGATATTCAAGATGGCTTTTCCGGTTCAAGACCCCATACAAATGCGGCACGCTAGTTTTGAGTCTGTGCTGAGGTAACTGTGGGCAAAGCGGCTCGCATCAATAACACTTATTATATCCATACCACTTATGTTGTATGTTGTATCTGATTTATGCTGTGGAAAAGGTCCTCATAGTACATGATCATAAGCCGAAAAGAAAAGTTCGTTGGTCCGAAGAGTTCGTTTTCTTTTTGGGACACAATATCTACTATCGTCAGATATAGTTTTGAATGATAAACTCCGAGTGTTCATGGGACAACATTACTGTGCCCTCACAGCCACGCATAGTTCCTTTGAAGGAAATAGCGGCTCCGTGTGCTGTGGCAGCACTGTATCATCCCGATAGTCTGAGTGATTTCAAAAGACTTGTGGGCTTCTATCGCAAGCCATGCACATATAATTTTCCTGCGCATGTCTTGCATATTTTCCGTTCACATATTGAAACGGTGGCATTCTCATATTTATTTCCAATGTTAACGACCAGTTTTACAGCCATATGTTTTTCGGTAGTCTGCCAATCTTTCCAAAATTGGCGGTTACGATGGTTCCTGTTCTTTTGAGATATTTTCACTAGTTTGGAGTGCACATGCTGATATTGTATGAATGTCCATTAAGAGAGATCATAAGAAGTTTGCAGGTGGTCGACAGCATCCTCGTTCGTTTAGCACATCCACCAACAAGATGCCCTTTCCCATAATTTGGCCCACAATTATTTTTGCAATCGTCTATCCCGGTTGAAACCGCCATATGTTGTTGATGACAATATTCTGGTATTGTGATACCGCCCAAACGCAGGTAAATCATGTGCTGCGATCCCGGGGAGGACAGGCTACGTCGGGCCCGCAGTCAATGGCTGATCGTGAACACCTGGTCTTGCCCGCTCGCGGTCGTCGCTGACGGCCATCGCCAGACCACATCACCGAGCTGAGGCACCGCCGCTGATTCGAATATCGCAGACCCAGGGCCCTCGAAGGACAAACAGAACGGTTCGCGCTGGGCTGGTGCTGGCTGCATGGCGTGTTGTTTCCCGGGTTAAGTTGCGCTTTGGTAAAATTACTTGTGGAATTCAAAAGACTCGGAAGACCAAACCCACCTGTGAGGCACTGGCATTGACCTTCGTTAAGGGGTCAGGCTCAGTGGTTTTGGTTTCAGGTGTTTGAAAGTCACGTGGCGTATACTTTAAACTGCACCGTCACGCGCATTTTTGGGGAGGGGAATTCTCTGCAACCGAAAATGGCTAAATGCGGTTTATCACATTTTTATAACAAAGCACGCCATGGCTCGGGGTTAGAGACGCAACTCTGAACCCGCCAGTCCTCAAACATCTGATCCACAAGAACTCGCGGGCTCTTGTTCTAGTTATAGACCAGACTCGGCGGCCCTTTGCTGGTCAAAAATTATAACGCGCAAAATACTGCATTTTTTCATTGCTAACACTCGACCTGATAGGAAAGGGAGGGTTGATGTCGCGTCCCCAACCTAAGGTTTTCAGAGGATACCTTCTGATTTTGGGACAGCGGTGATCTTTGAGGAACACTGTACGTCGATGTACGGCCGGGACCGGCGCGGACGACAGGCGCCAACCGACGATTCCGTGGACCACCCGCGACGGACCCACATCGATACATTAGAGAGTGTTCCACATTTGTATAGGGTTTTGAACTGAAGCAACGATTACGAAGACTATTCGGTGCGGTTTACAGCACTCCCCTTCCCAACACTTGACACTTCGGATAGGGTCAATTTTACCACACTCTCCCGAAGGTTTTTCCGAAATGGTTTCTGAATAGCGTAGCCGTAGCCGCGCCAAATTTAGCATAGCTGTCGAAAATTGGATAGCGGATCGTTTGATATAAAATATTAAGGTGCACGTTGTAAGGTCACTGGCCGGCGGCAGGTAACTTAGATCATGGCTTCAGGGAATGCAATTTCTATGGAATTGTTTAATCTTATGCAGCAACGGACTGTAAGGCGAAGCCATACATTTCTGAGATAGTTTCCTGGGCAACACAACAACTGAATGAACAAATTTCATGGACCTGGGGTCATGTACGAGCGTCATACAAAGGCCAAAACCAACCTGTTTTATTACTCTAGAACTTGCTAAGTGAGGTAGTGTATGGTGGTCATTTTAAATTTATCAATAGCGCGAACCACATTTTTACATCTTTCATTGACGTTTTAAAAGTTTGGAAAGGTCACTAACCCAAAATCACTCTGGTTGACGTTGGGTTTTCCGGAACACATCCCCTTGCGCAATCGTTAGCGCTTATCCAAATGCAAAACTCAACACATTCTTGCATGAATTTGGTCACCATGACTCGCGAAAGGTCAAACAAGGTCGCTGTCATTAAATTATTGCGGGTGGCCTTTTGTTCAGAACAAACATCTAGGTCCTGGGCGCACTTTGGGCACCAACCTGAAGTTTGACCTTTTTTGACCGTATTTGACCCAAAGGTCAAGGCCTAGGAACCAAAAATGTTGACAGAAATGAGTTCACATACATACCAATATATTCTGTGAATTTGATGTCTCTAGCCCTCTTGGTTGCCAAGATCTCAGATGGGTCAAATTGACCACCACCCCAACCGAGCGAAGACTATTCATCAGGCCACCCGGGCGCGTGTTAAGACCTAAAACACTTTTTCCGAGCTACTGGCTCGTGAAAATGTACATACTTTTTTGGGGCAGACTATCTAAAGGTTATTCAGACATGCATTACACCCCCATAGCAGTCATTTAAACCCTGCCACTCCTTAGGCCATGCCACGTTTAAGGCCAGGCGTAATATCACTGTTGAGTCGCCCAGATTTGGCGTATGTCAGGGCGATTTCCACGATAGGGAATGTAAAATGGCTCTCAATCAATGTTGAGGAAACTGTGCAGGTTTGAAGCAAAAACCACATTTCTTCTTACATAGCATATGTCGTTGGAGGTGATTGCTACTTCTTCCGGAGATAAACTTGCAATCAAATAACTTAAGAATAGCGCCCTAACCGAGCATGTGAACACAGGCTAATATCTTAACCTCACGGATAATCATGCAAGAATACCACGAGAAAGGGCCAAACAGAAGCCCGTAACGTCATTTGGTTTACCTAACACTTCCAGCATGGCCACTGCGATCTCTCAGCGAGTCTGAAGTATTAAAATTGGGTGTCAGGGTGGCAATTTCGCAAGGCTAGGTTGTTAACGCCTCACCGTCATACCTACGTTCGATGACACAATCAAACAATGACGCATTGAGAAACCTTTTACTAAAAAGAGAAGTTGTGTTGTCTAGAGCAATCTTTTTCACTTGGAATAATACTATTAGTTATATGTGGGCTTAGTTTTTCGTATTTGATGCTCTACTTTCATGCATTTTAAGAGGAAAAGACTGTTTTAGACAGCATGATTGTCTGCTTAGTAAATATCCTTCTCAATGCGTCATGATATGGATACGTCATGGTACCCTGCACAACATTGACTGAGAGCCAGTTGATGGCCATTATGTCTGGAAATCGCGCTCACGAACGCCAGATGTGAACTACTCGACAATCGTACTTTTCTTTGCCTTGATCGCCACATGGCACATGAAATGGCAGGATTTGAATAACGCTATTACGAGGTCATAATGTCACGGTGACTTTTAGATACTCTACTCGATACACTTTGCTCCATTTTCGCAGGCGTGTATCTCAGAAACTTGAGTGGCTTAGGTCGTGAGAAGGACAGGCTTGTGAACAGCACCGAAAGGTATTTAAGAAGGCTATTTTAATTCAACGCTTCATATAAATGTGGAACACTCCCTTTAACAGAGCTACGCCCCATTCGCATATGCCAAAATACACGGAGTGTAACTATACATTATTGTGCTCAAAATTTCACAAGAAACATTACTGTTTTAGTTTCGTGTCGCTTTAAGGCATCGTATCGTATATATGAGCATGCCAAGCTGAAAAAGCTCGCTTTTTGTGAAAAGGATATTTTTGACCTGGCATAATGCGGTCAGTTATAAATTCAAAGCCATTCACTGTGCTGACCGAGTTCGGCCTGGAGGTCAAACTTCAAGAATGAAGAACCCCATGGCTGGTTTAGGTATGGACAGGTTTCGTGACCATTTTTCGCAGAGGCGTCCTGTTAGTGAAAGCACGTGCATCTACTGGTTTGGTTTAATCTCGAAGAACTGTATGGTCTTACAACTTGCCACGGAATGTCTGTCAGCGACTTTTCCGGCCAAGGCCGTAATCCGGCAATCGCTGGCCGGACTGGCAGGAACCAACTCAAGCACCTTGTCCCTGAGTGACTCGGTTCGTGTTTTGTGGATCATTAGGACGTTGCCAATTAAACACGTCCATAATATACTTCAAAATGGAGCAAGACTCCCTGAGCCAAGAAGTTTGCACTACGTCCTTGGTAATTTCGCAAGTAGATCACTCAGTGCAGTTCACAGCCCTGCCCTTTTAAAGACCCTTTAAAGGTCGCCCAGATATCAGGGCGA